TTTTTATTACTGTATTTTTAAATGAGCAGATTCATATATATATATATAGATGTAAGATGTAAAAAAAAATAGATCGCGATTTTTCTAGAAGCTACTCTGTTACATAACCTTCTCATATAAATGCTGCGTCATAAGTTTTTCTGCATTTTTCTAGAAGCTACTCTGTTACATAACCTCCTCATATAAATTCTGCGTCATAAATTTTCCTACACAGATGCCTTCTCGTCTTTGTCCTGCTAACATCACCGCTACGCTCCTTTTTTTTTGGTTAGAACGTTATGACATATTAAAATTTAAAGTCAGTCGTATCTAATAGTGCAATTACTGAATAATTAATTTGATTAACTTCATCTAGAAAAAGTCAGCTACTCTAATTTAAAATAAAGATATGTTGTTAAAAGTGAAAAGTCCTGAGTCGTCACTTTTCTCCGTGCTTCAATCATCCCAGCTTCGTCAACCATCTGCCAAAACGTGTAATGGAATAGCCTCGCCATTCACCCACGATGTGTTGGAATAACTGAAACATTACAGTTATTAATCAGCCTGTAGGCCGATGGTTGATGAAGCTGGGATAATTGAAGCTCGGAGAAAAATGACGACTTGGGACTTTTCACTTTTAACAGCATATCTTTATTTTAATTTAGAGCAGATGACTTTTTCCAGATGAAGTTAATCAAATTACTTATTCAGTAATTGCACTATTAAATACGACTGACTTTAAATTTTAATACGTCATAACGTTATAACAAAAAAAAGAGGAGCATAGCGAAGATGTTAGCAGGACAAAAGCGAGAAGAAAACTTATGACGCAGCATTTATATGAGGAGGTTATGTAACAGAGTAAATCTTGTACGCTATGTCCTGTATGTTTTCATGTCTTTTCTCATACTTTTGATTTATTAATGTACTAATGCTTTTCTCACCCCGGCCTCTCCTTTTGACGGGGGGGGGGGGAAGGTTTTGCTAACCAGCATTTAATTAATTTTCTGAAAGGATCTTCCCTAAAACCTTCTAGATCGCGATTTTTTCTAGAAGCTACTCTGTTACATAACCTTCTCATATAAATGCTGCGTCATAAGTTTTCCTACACAGATGCCTTCTCGCCTTCATTCCTGCTAACATCTCCGCTATGCTCTTCTTTCTTTGTTAAAAGTTAACGTATTGAAATTTAAAGTCAGTCGTATCTAATAGTGCAATTACTGAATAAGTAATTTGAGTAACTTCATCTGGAAAAAGTCATCTGCTCTAAATTAAAATAAAGATATGCTGTTAAAAGTGAAAAGTCCTGAGTCGTCATTTTTCTCCGAGCTTCAGTCATCCTAGCTTTGTCGACCATCTGCCAAAATGTGTAATGGAAATAGCCTCACCATTCACCCACTATGTGTTGGAATAACTGAAACATTACAGTTATTAATCATTATACTTTTATAAAATCAAAATTTTATCATTTATGTTTTTCTTTTTCATTTGGTAGTGCTTTAACGCTTTTTTTTTTTTTTTAAAAGGCTTCTCTGTCGCTACAACTTTTTCTTCTTGAAGGGTTATGCCTTTTTCAAGGTCACTATGCCTTTTTCTTCATATGTAAGAAAAAGAATATGTAAAAGATTAAATTAGCAGCCTAAATTAATTTCCCTTCTCATTCTAAAAATAGTAACCCCTGTCTGCACTGCGTCATTTCCAGAAAAATCCATGCTGTATGGCTCTTACATAATTCTGAATATGTAAAGGGAATAAAACTCTGTAACAGCCAATAATAATTTTACAGCAATATTAACCATCTAATCAGAATGCTTTGAGTACGAAAACTAAGTCTGACTTGAGATTTCGTCCTGATCATTACGCACTTGCTTTCCACGCTTTGGCCTAACTGTCTGTCTGTCTGCTCTGCTTTCTTGCTACAAAATTATCAAAAATACAGTCAAAAGTCGTTTATCCGGACTCGTCGGGACTTCGCCGATTCTGGATTATCGATTTTTCTGGATTATAGATCATCAGTTTAAATCTCGTAAAATGGCATGCAGAAATTCTAAAATTAAAAATATGAAACCATAATTTATGAAATAAAGAACAATTATGATCTAAAGGGTATCAAAATTTACAAAAAAAAAAAGCGTAATATTTATTTGTTTACTTTATTAAACATTTCTTTTAATGTAAGTTGTTTAAGTTGCTTCGTTTTATGTGATAATACTTTTCTCTTAATTCTATAAACAGACATAATTTCTTGTTCAGTTACAAAGTTCCACTGTTCAAGTCCCGTTAATTGCTGTGCCGAGAATACCGACTAACTTGTCAATCGAAATTTTTTCGTTTTCACTAACCTCTCTGTCACATTCTTCATGTCTTTATCCATTTTTTGCAGCAATTCCACTTTTTGTTTGTTGGACATCGAACATACTTTCGTTTTGTAGATCCTTTGGAAGTTCCAGCATCGGAAATTCTATTTGACATAATCGAAAGTTCAAGTTTACTTTTATAAAATTGCTCTTATAGTCTGCAAAAAATAATAAGCGGGATCCAATTCGAAGATTAAGGAACAATGCAATCATTAACTGAAATAGATAATTAGATAATTTTAGCTTACGCTGTCCGTTATACATTAAATTCGCAGGCGAAAACGTATTCTGCACGTGCGCACACGCATATGCGCAGTAGTCAAGGTCTTACGCGCACGCATAAAACGCCTGTGCGCATGTGCCAACGCGGCACATGCGCAGAAAGTTTTTAGCTTTGAGGTCCGGATTATGGGTGTCCGAATTAACGACTTTTGACTGTATAAGCTTTTTGGAACAGGCGCATTTAATGTGCCGACTTGTGTGTAGCCGCAACATGTTGCCGAAAATAAAACTGAAGATTTAAATATGCCTTTGCATCCAATTTTTTAGTCATTGTGGATTATCAAAATTCCTACTTCCTGAATATATTACATATACATACAGTACAAAGTCCGAAATCTGGACATCCATTATCTGGAATGACCTAAAATCCAGACCTCAAAGCCACAAACATTTTTTTTGTTGTTGTTGTTATTATTGATGCTTTACGCATGCACATTTGGTTTTTTCCTTCTATAATAAAAAGTGTGGAGATTTTCACTTAAAAATTCCTATTCTTCATTTACTTGGGCACTAAATAAAATACCTTGTTATGAAAAAACAATCATGTAAGCATAAATTTGTGAGATTAATAATTTAGCTGCGTAGCTGAGTATCTACTTGGCATGCATCTAAAACCGAAACATTCACCTATTTTATATCCCTGATGCTTGTCTGGCGAGTTATTATTTATTATATTTTGCTTTCATCACATGTTTACCAATACATGGCAGCTTCAGTAATAACTCATGCTGTGATGTCTAAACTTTTTTTATATTAGTAATTGAATAACAAGAGTATGGCAACCTTTTATACTAGCATTACGCTTGACGATGATTATAGATTTTTAAATGCTCCAAGAAATGTTGACAAGGAAAAATTCAACAAAAATTTCTTTTCATATGCTAAAAATAGATTTTGTTAATGGAATGCATAGGCCAAAAGATTACATTTAGTGCTATTTTAATTAAGATTAACTGATATGTTATTCACCATAAACCCAGAAGCAGCGGCAGAATATGTCGGCACTGGACGACAAAATTTTTGGATTTGGGGAAGCACCGAGTGACAAAATTAAGGGATGAGAAAAGTTTTTATGATTAGGGAAAGCACTGGGATCCAAAGTTAGGCACAGGGGAAATTTAGAACTTAGGAAAGTGCTTTGGAGCAGAATTTAGGACCCTAGAGACTGCACCAGGTGGTATCGAGTACCGGCTTTAGATAAGTGGCCTTATGTATATGTGAGAGTTTATTTATTCAGTACTTGGATTACTTTGAAGCATGTGCAAGAAATAAACGTATGTATAGTAAATAATTAATACAATTCAGGCTTAATTCAGTACGCAATAGGAGCAAAATAAAATTTAGCGAAACAACTGGGGTTTCGTCACCAATCTTGTGATACACAGCCAATAATGTATAAACATGCGCTATTAAGCTAGGCTAAAATTATCTTTACTGATTCTAATGCATTTTAATTAATGTAGCAGACTGTGCTGCTCCTTGATCTTATAATTTGATCCAGCTTATTATTTTTTGCAGACTGTTGTTATTACACCAATTTTATGAAAATTAAGCTTGAACTTTCGATTATGTTGAAAAGAGTTTCCAATTTTGGAGTTGCCAAAGTTGTTTATTGGACATCGAAACATGGTTCTAGAAAGTGAAACCATGTTTCGATGTCCAATAAACAAAAATTGGAATTGCTACAAAAAATGGATAACGGCATATTTGTCTCAAAATTGTGCGAGGCGTATGGCATTGGAAAATCCACTGTATATGACACAAGAAAAAAGAAAAAGGAACTTTTTGAACTTTTTGTGGAAGCATCTTAAACAACTTACGTTGAAAGAAATGTTTAATAATGTAAACAAATATTGAGCTTTTTTTTTTTTTTTTTTTTTTTTTTTTTTTTTTTTTTTGTAAATTTTGATACGCTTTAGATCATAATTGCTCTTTATTTCATAAATTATGATTTCATAATTTTAATTGTATAATGTCTGCATGCCATCTTACCATATTTAAATTGATGATCTATTATCCGGAAAAATCCCGAATCCAGAATCGCTGAAGTCCGGATTTCGGACTTTGTACTGTATATATTTTCAGAAAAAATGGGTATTCAAGGTTAAAAAAATTCGTCAATATAAGAGCAAATAAAATTTTCTAAAAGATGTTTAAAACTTAGAAAACAATGTGGTTTCTTCACAGTTCCTCTTTTACAAATAGTGAACTGGATCAAGCAGAAAATGGACAAATTTTAATTTCGTTGTTTTAACTGTAAATAATTACATAATTGGCTTTCAGGTGAATTTAAATTTCTTATTTAAAACGTTTACTTGATCAACTAAATAAAATGTCATGTATAAACTCTAAATAATAAAATAATATTTACTTATTTTACAGGCTGCTCAACGGGAGGCTAAACAAAGGGCAAAATCGGGAAAGGATTTTATTCCAGAAAAGAGTGTAAAGGATATGACGCCTGTTGAAATGAATAGATTTTTGTCTCATTTTCCTCATAAGACTAAGTAGTTTTATCCATGTTATGTAATATGCCTAGTTGTTAATTAAAATTTAATGCATAATCATACGTTTGCATTCATTTATTAAATTTGTCATTCAATTAGTAGGATAAAAGAAACTCAACAAAAGTATTTTGAAATATTAATTCATATTGCTAATATTTATGTGTAATATGTAGCACTTATTATGACACCAAACTGGTACTTCATTATTTTCTCATTCTATCAAAACGAGATGAAAAGTATTTGACATAACACATAAACTAATACCTATAATAATTAATGTAGTTTAAGTAACATTAGGTAAAACATTTAAACTCCTTTTCTCATTTCTGGGTAGATTTTATACTTTTTTATCATTAAGCCCCAGAACTGGAGGAAAAAATCATTTTTCCAACAAACATTTGTGAGTATTTGAAATTCTTTTTTTTTTTTTTTTTTTTTTTTTGAAAATTTATTTCATTTTGCTTAAAGTGTATTATTAAAGTGTAAGCTTTTAATGTATACATAGTTTGAAGAATATTACAACTGGTTTTGTAGATTATGGTTAGGTTTTGATAATTTCTTGTGCTCTTTTATTTTGAAATTATCTAAGCAGTCATTAGCCTGCAGAGCAAAGTTATTTTAAGCCTTCTTTTCAGCAGTATAAAGTTTTTAGGATAGTCTTTCATTTCATGATCTTATCTAAGGTTGAACAAAAATTATCACTTTGATTTTTTTTTTTTTTTTTTTTTTTAGTCAGCAGTATAGGGAAGGGTATTTGAAATCATTTGAAAACAACCAAATCTGTATGTATAGTTTTTATAATTGCTTGATCAAGTCCAATCTGATGTGTCAGCATTTCCTGGAAATCCAATAAGGCTTCCTCCTTGATACTGTGAATCTCTTTGGGGAAATGAGTCTGCTTTGATCAGTACTTTTCATAGTAAGCTGGCCAAAAGGTAAAGGTAGTAAAGACATTTTCTGAAACCAGCTTGAGAAATCATTAAAAATGGCCCTAATTTGAAATTTCCAAGGACCTTTTGCTGTATTTGTAATATCACTAAATATATAGTTTTCTAAAAAAATGTAAGCCTTGTAGATGTAACAATATTTTATTAGATATTTTTATTCAATGCACTTTCTGTTAATAAATTAACAGCTGATATATTAAAATGAAAATCTCCATAATATGTTTATATATGTGAAACAGTATCTTTGACAACTTAAGGACCAGTGCCAGGAAAACGCAGTTACAGGACCGGACCCGCTGAAATGGATCGTCGTCATCGGCCCGCGCATTTTCAGCTGTTAAGCCTAATTTTACAAAACAAAAATCATATAAAATCAGCATTTTGATATTAGGCTACAATTTTTGAAGTTGCATATTTAATGTACTTGTTTTTAATGTGTTGTTAATAAAGAATATCACATTAATAGAAATAAATTAAACAGGCAAAATATTAAAATCATAACTATACACACAGAAATAAATTCTATAAACATGAAAAAAGTACAAATATTAAAAAAAAAAAAAAAAAACTAAACAAGAATTACCAGTAGGTAATTAAATTTAAATTTAAAAATTCTGCTGTGTGTGAAATAATTCAAAACGAGGATCGACACACAATCGCGCATTGCATATTTTGCACTAAAAATACTTTGTTTGCTTTCACTTTTCCTTGGTTTTAGCGCACACAACGCATCTTCTCCTACCTTTATTACTTTTTCTGTCAGAGTAAATTTTTAGAAACTGTCTTGACGGAAAGATGGAGTGTCCAGTGATTTTGGGCAAATTTTAAAGTTTTTTGGTAAGGTTTTTTAGCCATGCCTAATGGAATGAAATTGAATATAAACCCAACACATGTTCCAAAACTTCTTCAAAAGACACTCAGAAATATTTCATCATCAAACCTTGTGTGACATCAGGTTTATATTAGAAAACTTCCTGTTTTTCTAAATCGAAAACAGTGTCCACGACCGAAAAGTGATCAAGGAAAGACCCCCCACTGGCAGGATATCCATTACTGCTCACGTCAATATATACATTATATATAATTGCATTATATGTAAAGTAAGTACATTATATACCAAAATATAATTGCCTGTGTCATTATATACTATAATGACCATTCAAGGCATTATATATAATGACCTATTAAATCGAGTAAGAAAAACAAAAACACTGGCTCTTTCCTGAGAAATGCGAGCGAGTAAGACGCATTATGCGTTGAGAAAGCTGATAGTCTTTCCCCTTCTGTAATAATGTTGCAATGTTACTTTTTAATTAACCAAGAAAGCTTATGTTAAGTTTCAAAATAAATAGAAAAAATATATATATATTGTCCTTGACAAAGCCCTTTTGGACTACAAATTTTAAATTACGTCCAAAAGGGTGTTTTTTTAATGTTTTGTGTGTTACCTTTATTTATTAAATATCATGTTCTTTGCATTTAAACCATAAATTTTAGTTCAATAGCAATGTCGCAAAATAATTTTTAAATGAGCATATCTTTAGGATTTCCGATACACAGTTCCACACATTGGAGATAAAAAGGTTCCCTCCCCCCAGTGTTGTCATTGCTCGCTGTTAAATCGTTGAGTTGGTTACTCAAAAATTCATTAAAGTTTTACAAAATATGAAATCGATCATAAAACAAATTTCAAATTTGATCTTCCACATGCCCATTTTCGTAGGAGGATTACGTCATTCAAGATTCGATGGCTCTATGTACAGTTGTTTTATCACAATGCAAAAAATATACATACAGTTATGCAGATTTTTCATTATTTAATTTCTTCAAACATAATGCAGGAACATTTGGTGGAAACAGTTTGAAAAGTGAAATGGACATTAATAGTAATTCAACGCAAAATCTCAAAACGAAAACAATAGTCTTTCAGAGACAAAACCCCTTTGAACTCAAAAAAAAAAAAAAAAAAAAAAAAAAAAAGAATCCTAACGAAAGAAAGAAAAATGCCTGTGCCACCTTTAATTCACAGGCGCACTTATAAAGAGCCATGATTCCAAGTTTGTTTATTTCAATAAATCTATCAAAACTAGAAGCACAAAACAGAAACTAATGCCAGTATATGAAGGTCAAATGTTGTATGAATCAGCCCATGTGAAAACAATTACCTTTAATTCACAGGTGCACTTATAAAGAGCCATGATTCCAAGTTTGTTTATTTCAATAAATCTATCAAAGCTAGAAGCACAAAACAGAAACTAATGCCAGTAAATGAAGGTCAAATGCTGTGTGAATCAGCCCATGTGAAAACAATTACCACTTATCTCCATGTACTGGCTTTTAAAAATTCAAATAAATCATTCCATTTTAATGTTACGTATATGGGACGCTGGGCTGGTAGGAGCAGAATCGTTGCATCGCGCATGCGGGACACTGGGCTGGTAAGAGTGGAATCATTGCATTGCGTGTATACGACTCTGGTCCTGAACTGGTTAAATGAAATTGTTCTCTTGTAAGCTGCTTGAACTGATAGTATAGTCATACAATAAACCAGTGATGGCCTTGCATCATAGATGGCCCATGCGTAATTTTCTATGGGGAAATTATTCAAATTCATTGATCATGTAGTGTTGCCTGTACCCACTGCATTATAAAGTGATTTAGTAATGGACTGTTACAATAGTAAATTCTATAACTGTTGTGAAGCTATAATGACCGAAAATTTATTGCTTTGATGCAAGTCGAGAGATGCTCACGTAGAATGTTTGATGAGCAAAGTTTCATCTTCTTTGTCTTTATTTAGAGAGAGATGGACTTTGTTAATATGCACATAATAATTGTTATTTCAGTATATTAATAATGGCTTAATAAAATATATTCTGTGGCCTGTAGAGTCAACATATATTTTAAATTGGTCGTTATATATGCAGAAGTTAGCCACTGCTATATTGAACAGGTAAGAAAAAACAGAATAGGGCTATTTTCCCGTCTTTATCATCAACTGATGATAGGTTGTTGCTATAATAACAAAGTACTGCAAAAACAGAATTCATAAAAATCATATTTATTGCAGGAGCAAAACATTAAAATAGAAATAATTTTAATTTTTTTAGCCATAAGTTACAGTAAAGTGGCACTTAATACTTAAAAACAGAAATCTTTTTGCATAATCTAATTTAATTTAAATCGTGGAATGTTATTTAAAAAATGATACTCATTATCAGGAGACTGCTGAATTCTTGTTAAAATAAATTTTAATCAATTATCAATGTAAATATTTCATGGTGTCTCGAAATAAAATAATTTTAAGAATTCTAAATTTTTGTTTAAATGATTAGTTTTCCCCTGAATTGAAATAAAATTGAAGTAATTTTTAATTTTGAAATGTTGCAGTGTGTTTAATATTTTAATATTTACTAAAATTTTTTAATAAAAAAATTAGTTTACAACTGGTTTTTTAAGTAGAATACCCATTCTAAACATTAATCATCAATTGATAGAAATTGCAGCTATAACAAATCTGGTTTCATGCTGTCAATTAATTTTATTTTAGAATGTTTATGAATTTTAAGTTAAATGGTCTCGCGTATTATGTAGATGTTGTTTAAAAACACATGTAAATAATTTGAGTCTAGCATCAAAACACAATAAATTCATGTCAAAAACGTTTTGCCCTCTTGAGACAAAAAGGGCAAGATCACACTGGAGGAAAGAAGGTATTTTTAAAGAAGCAGGTATTAGAAGCTATGAATATGGCAATAGATTGCAGTTCAAAATTTGAAAAACTACTATTATCTGAGATGAAAGTTTAATTTTGCAGAAACATATAAAAGGCTTAAAGATAGCTGAGCTGAAAGTTAATGTATATTACATTATTTAATTATAATACATTTGGGATTTTTATGTATGGTTGTAGTGTTTTTTAAAAAAAATACTAAGGATATTTTAAATTTTTATTTATTGCTTTTTAGTTACATAACTTGTTGACTAAAATGCATAAAAATGGTTTTGAAGTTCACTGTTAAATACACAGTTAAATAATTCTTAAGCTGTGATTGTAATGCACGATAATTTCCACCAGAGGGGCTATTAATTTCAGTCCACTTTAGTATTCATAT